CTCCCAAATTCAAGATATATATATATATATATATATATATAGTTTGCATAGATTCATCTGATCACTCCATAATCAAACAGACTTAGAAGTTACACTCTTAACAAATAATCTAAAGGAGAAAAAGTTCACTGCCAAGAATTCTTACAGCTTATTTATATTCTCAACGATAATCAAGATTCACACTCTCTAACTTTTAACACCTACAACCTTTCTTGAGGCTCCTTCGAGCCTCAGCAACTAGGGCTTCTCGAGCTGAAACAACTCCATTTGGGGCTAAAAGTGCATCAAATGAAGAATAATCCACCCATTCCTTGAGAAAACCATCCTGACTCCATCTCTCTGGTATAAACATTTTCCCAGCCACTTCATCCCAGTGCCTCTTCAGTTTTTCTCTCCCAGAATCAGCTGCATTTTCTATCGATGGTTCTGTTACTAACTTTTCTTTATGGGATGTGGTTTTAGAAGATTTCACATACTGATTATATGGAAATTGGAGTGCAGAATTTTCTTCAAGGGATTGAGTTTTTTGGGTTGATTCTGAAGGATTGTGTTCTGGGATTTGTTTGGAGCTTGAGTTTGTGGTGGAGGATGCTTCCATTTTAGTGCTGCAATAGTATGATAACTGATTATTTCTTAAAAGACTTTGAGTTTAGAATTATTCTTATAAGACTTTATATAGGAATAGATGTAAGTAAGAGGATTCTATGTGTGGTAGAAATCTCACACTACGTGTCAAAGCTCAAGTTAAAGCGGACATCGCATTAAAGAACCAGTCGTTGTTCTGCTTTTTGGTTGGTTTGCAAGGTTTGTACGTTTCAGTATTCTTGAATTTGAATCCAAATTATCGAGGAGTCCACGAAAATTTGATTCAATGCATCATACAAGTCGTAAATATCAAAAAACTTAACACTATACGTAATTCGGTTTAAACTTTACACAGTGAATCTGTGTATGGTTCTCGTAAAAGCACGCCGTACGACTGCGAAAAAATGTGTGGCTAAACTAAAACTACGTGCTTCCTTCCTTAAAAGAGAAGAGAGAGGCCAACGAGGTCGGAGAAACGTCAACTGTAGATCATAATTAAAGAGAATTTAGTTAAAAGCAGCAAAGATGTGGACACGCATCAGTAGAAATCAGATATTTTGGCATTCGATGACGTTTCTTGGTTATTGTCCTTAAAAAATAACGATCAACTTTTGGCCATACATATAATCATTATGGAAAATGTACTTGTCAAAATTGAACCATAATAATATCAAGAAGTGTTCGATCACGATGCATTCGATTCATTGTTAAATCTACTAAAGGTGTATTTTAAAGTTGATTAAGAAAATAAATATAATAATATAAGGTATAAGAGCATCTTCAAAAATTATTTAAATACAAAATACTTACCATTTTAGATAAACAATGATTAAAAATAAGATTTAAGAGATTTCCTATTTTAACTTTTAAAATAGTGAGTGGNATTTAGCAACGGATGAGAAGATTTCATTATAATCTATACCCTCTCTTTGTGTAAAACCTTTGACCACTAATCTGACCTTATATTTTTTACCTTCAGTATTAGGGTCTCCTTCTTTCACTTTTTAGACCTACTTGTAATCAACAAATCTTTTGGTTTATTAGCCAGACTCCATGTCTTATTTCTAATTAAGGAGTCAATTTCTTCATTCATAGCTTTTATCCACAGTTTGGATTCTTTACTGTTAATAGCTTTTTCTAAGGCTGTGTTTCAAAATTAATAGATTCCAATTCAGAGTAGAAATTAACAAATTCATTAGTGTTATTGTGGTAGAAGGAAGCCATTTTCTTCTAGCTCTGTCTCTGATTAACTGATAGTCTAAAAGGGTGTTAGTTTAGGACTCATATTCTGATTCGTCTTGAGATTGATCCATTTCAGATTGAGTAGTTTCCACATCAATAATATCATTGGGCTCAGCAAAATTATCTTCATTTCTTTCCAAAACAGTTTCCCTAACAGTGATAGAATCATGTTGTTTATGATTCTCAGAACCATTGCAAAGAAGGAGACCTTTATTGAATATAACATTTCTACTTATGATCACTTTAAACCTATATTTTTCCCTTACCCAAAGCCTACATCCCTTAGACTCGTCACCATAAACCATGAAAATACATTTTAAGGATCTGGGTTCAAGTTTTCTTTCATTTTGATGAGAGTACGAGCACAACCAAAAACTTTAAGTTTAGAATAATCTAGAAACTTTTCAAACCATAGTGATTCAGGGATTTTGAAATCAATAGCACTAGAAAGAATCCTATATATCAGATAAGTGTCAGTCTTTAAGACTTTTCCCCAAAACAGTTTGGGAAGACCGGAACTTAACAACATACTTCTAACCTTTCAAGTAAAGTTCTGTTCATTCTCTCAGCAACACCATTTTGTTGAGGAGTGTATGTTGTTGTTCTATGCCTTAAAATAGCAAATTCTTTACAAAAAAAGATCAAATTCAATGTTACAAAATCCAACCCCATTATCTGTTCTAAGTACTTTGATTTTCAATCATCAATTTTCATTTTTTAAAATTTTGGAAGATGTCAAACTTAGATTTTAAAAGGGAGGTCCAAAATTTTCTTGAAAAATCATCTACAATCAGTAGATAAAATCTAAATCCACTCAGAGTGCTTACTAATACTGGACCCCAAAGGTCAGTATGTAGATAATCAAGTATTGATGTGGATTTGTGAATTTCTGTTTTAAAAAGGTAGCTTGTTTTGTTTCCAAGACACAATCTTCACAAGATTTCAAGCTCTTAATAAAATCCTTTCCAAAGCATCCAAGCTTGTTAAGAATCAACAATCCCTTTTCACTAACATGCCATAATCTCTTATGCCAGGTTAAGGATTTATCATCAGAGGATTGACTGACGTTGATAAATTTCCAACTAATGGTTCAGCTTGAAGAGTGTAAATTCCATTAACCTTGGGTAAAGAGAATATTTCGTTAGAGTTGAAATTCAATTTGGTGAATCCTTTATGGATTTTAATTTCATATTCATTATCCAACTCTCCCAAGGAAATCAAATTCCTCTGAAGATCAATAATATATCTTGTTACAGGGAGTTCAAGAATACAATTGTTTTCAAACAAAAAGTTAATTTTCCCAATACCTTTTATCTTACAAGTCATATCATTTCCCATTTGAACTCACCACCATTTAGATAATTAAATTCAATGAGCTATTATTTCATGGGACACGTATGAAAGGAGTATTCAGAGTGAAGAACCCATTAATCTTTTGTGGTTTCTTTTAGTTGAAGTAACAAGGACAACTCCTTGTACTTCAGATTCAAGATTGCAAGTTATAGTTGTTGACCCTTCAAAATTAGGTTTTCCTTTCATATCAGTTATCTTTTTGAAACAGTCTGTTATAAGATGTCTAGTTTTACCATAATAATGACATTTTCTATCTTGATTCTTAGATTTCACCTGACTCTTGCTTTGATTTCTAAATTTGGAAGTTTGAGATTTATCCTTTTTGAGAGAGATAAAATTGCATCGATTTCTCCTTTTATTTTGATTCAACTTCTCTTTAATGTTTAACCCTTCTCTAAATTTAGAGTCCTTAACTTCAGTTTCAAGTTCAAATTCCTTATTCCTCAAAGCTGAGATAATAATATCAATAGTCAGATCCTCTTTTCCATATTCTAAGGCATTCTCTGTATTTATCACCTAGTGCATTTAATAAAGCAATAGTTTGTTGATCATTAGATAGCTTCTCCTGACAATTAGCTAGAACTTGAATTAGTTTAGTGAATCTGTCAATATTTTCTTCTAAAGTGAAGGAGGTATCAAATCTAAAATTATAGAATTGTCTAAGGAGATAGCATTTATTAGGCATTGTCTTGATTAGGTAAAGGAATCCTAACTTAGTCCACAAAAATACAGTAGTTGTAGTTTTTCCAATCTTTCTTATCACGATATCAGACAAATATAGAAAGATTGTACTCCAATCAACCTCATCTAATTCTTGTCTCCAATAGGCACTAATTTCAGTACCCATGATTCATCAAGGGCAGCAACACATCTCTGTTGTAACAATAGAACCCTCATCTTTTGATGCCAGAGACTAAACTCTTCGATCCCTTTCCAAACTTTTACTTCAAATTTGCGTGCAATTGTCATAATAGTAGATAGAGTCACAGAATTAGGTTTATACAGCACACAAAATGTAACAGATTCAAGCAGAATGAGAAGATTATAAAATGTGCAAATTTCAAAGTAAGACAGAATATTACAAAGAATTCTTTTTCCATGTAATTTACACAATTTATAAAACAAATTATACAATCTAAGCAATTAAGAATTATATAACAGTGAAATGACTAAGTTATGTAGATATTAATAATTGAATTGCCAGTTTGACAGGTTTAAGGAGTGATGACTCGTAGATTCACTGCCCCTCAGATTCCC